TATACAATATTGTACTCAGTATAAACCCTTTAAGATATAAAATTAAATGAGGTTTTAAACTTTGAAAAAGATCTCCATTTCATTATTAAAAAACACAGTTTCATACAGAAAAAATTATTTTTAATACAATTGACACAAAGATGTTTGCACTTGCATTTCTAATCTCTGTATATCTGATTATTACTAATTGCAGTCGGTTACTTTCTGAGCTCCTGCATCTGAGCATGGATATCATCAGGTAGATTTCAATGGTAATATTTTTCATATCTACTAATTATTAAGCAGCAAATTTTTATGCTTTGAAGAATTATTTTTTTAATCATTATATTTTTTAATTGTTTAATAACTACATGATTAGAAGAAGCATTTCATGACAGCTTTAACACACTGAGTAACACACTCCAGAGCAAGAGTACATCTCTTTCACAAGTGGGTGCAAGTTTCTAGGTTCACAGTTGAATTAATACAGTTATATATTATTGAACTCAGTATAAGCCCTGTAAGACATAAAATTGGATGAAAATTTTTATTTATGAATTTTTTATTTTAAAAAATAAATGGAAGAAAGAAAAGTAAAAGCATGTGTTTGAGTGTGTGTGTGTGTGTGTGTGTGTGCTGTTACAGGGGGCTGAGTTTTTTAAAAACCTCAAAACAAAGCCAGGCCATGTAAACAAAACAAAGGTTGAGGAAGTTCTTTGGACAGCTAGACTTTCCTCGTAAAAAATTCTTTCACAGCTCACCACTGGGGTAGAATTCTTGGTTATTTGTGTACGCATTCATCCATCCATTCATTCCACAAATCTTTATTTTGCTAAGACCTGTACATTCAATGGTATAAGTTGAAAAGAGGACTTTACCTGAAGTTTGTGGTTAGTGGTAATGGAAGGCAATGTAGGCATTAAACAAATGATGACACAGGCAAATCACTAATTGCAAGTCATAATGAGTTATGAAGAAGACACCAGGGTGTTTGTTACTGCATCTCTGACCTGCTCTGTTGTTGTGTATTTTCGGGGGTGCTCAGTGGATATGCAGGTAGGTGAGCATCAGGCAAGTCTCTCTGTGAACATATTTGTACCAAGATCTGACATACATTAGTAACCCAAGAGGCAGAACAGAGATGGCCAGCATGTGTCAAGTCCAGAAACAGGAAGGCTTTGGCTCATTTGAGGAACTTAAAGGAGACTGTGGCTGGAAGCCACCGTGCTCGCCCGGGGGAAGTGAGAGATGTGGTTGCTGGGAATGCTTTGGGAATGGTTTGTCTGGCAGAAGTTTGGTGTCCAGCATGGTTGTGTGGAGGTGTTGGGACCTTTAGGAGCTGTGGTTTTGTGGAAGGTAATTCAGTCACAAATGGATGAGAGTTTAGAAGAGTGGGTTGGGTCTCATAGAAGTGAATTGAAAGAATGCACTAGTTTCTCAGACACTGGAGTGTTATGAAATGAGGCTATCCCCAGGCTTGATTTCCTATGCATGTATCCGTTTATCTTTCTGCTTCTCTGTCATGTTTTGATCCAGTCAAGAGGGCCTCATCAGATTCCAGCATTCTGCTGTTTGGACTTCTTGCCACAAGAATCATGATCCCAATAATCCTTTTTACTTACAAAATATCCAGCCTCAGGTACTTAGTTATAGCCATACACCATATTAAGAGTTTTTGTTTTTATCCTAGAAAGAATGGAAAACCATTCACATGTTTCTGAAATGGCTCTTAAGACAACTATTAAGTATTTACTCCACTTGTATATTTGCTTGGGGGAGGGAGTCTCCTTGCACCATATTGGTCTTGAGCATCTTTCTTAACACTGACACAGTGAAGGATAATGATTTTTTAAAGAATGATTTTATTTTTAATTATACACATGTGTGTACATATATGTGCACATGAGTGAAGGAGCCCTCAAAAGTCAGAAGAGGGCTTCAGATTTCTTGAAGAAGGAGTTACAGGTGGTTGTGAACAATCTGATGTGGGTGTTGGGAATCAAACTCTAGTCCTTTGCAAGGGCAGTACATGTTCTTAACTGCTGAGCCATCTCTCCAGCTCCATGTATAGCTAAGTGAATGAATTAACATCAAGTAATTTTGGACCCTGATCAAAATCTGCATATTCTTATGCTTCCCGAGAAGTCATGTTACTACCTCAGCAGTTTGCATTCTGACATATCTGCTCGTGAATAAGGTAGATGCTAGGTATCTCCCTTCACGTTTTTGTTTTCTGTGACATAACAACTCACTTTCTGAAACACTAGTTTCTCCCAGAAGTTCTGAGACTTGCTAGTGAGTTCTGACTACCTTCCATATGTCATCGCTGATTATCTGTGACAAACTGTGAGTGGATGAAGGTCCTCACTGTATCTTTACTGTGCACACATGGGTCCTGGCCTTTATCCCTAAATAACTAATAGATGCAGTGACAATTTCTTCACCAATAATCTTCACAAGTCTCCGAAAAATCATAGTAACCCTCAGTTTTCTTCCCTAAACAGTGGCTCATGCAGTCTGTTTGACACCTAGGGCAGATAAGTTCTTAACACTCCCACGTTGTATAAGACAAAGTTATCTTTAGCAACAGCCATGTAATAATTAGGAATGTGAATTCTTGAGTTTTTCTTTAGTTTTAAAATTAACAATGTAAAGTGAAGACTAACTCAGTTCAAAAATATTATTCTAAATTCAGTAAACTATGTCATGTATGACTAAAATGTGCACTTACACAACAAAAATATCACACTTTGCATTTTGCACTCTTTATCACCATTTACTATTTTAATACAGGGGCTGGAGAGATGGCTCAGCAGTTAAGAACACTGGCTGCTCTTGCAGAGGACCTGGGTTCAGTTCCCAGCATCCACATGGCAGCTAACTCCAGTTTCAAAGGATCCAACACCCTCTTCTGACATCTGCAGGCATTGCATGACACAGCTGCACTTACGTACATGCAGGCAATACACTCATACACATAAAATAAAAGTAATAAATATTTTAAAATTTAAATACAAATTTTTAAAAAAGCTTATGCCTCACACATGCCAGGCAAGCTGAACTATATCCCCAGCTCAAACCTAGTTGTTGAAATGAGGAGACATATGAAACCATGAGGGTTGGAGACTTAAACTACACCTGAATCTAGCTCAAATGGTTGTAAGCTCTAAGCAGACTCTCTCTGCTTGGGGCTAGGGAGGGAGGGTGGCAGTGGGCAGTGACTATGTAACTAAATTCCTCTAAATAATGTCACACAGAGTACAATGTTTGTTAAAGCACATGGATAAAATGTGCTAATTTGAAGCTTACATGTGTTTACTTAAACTCCACAGCAACTACAATATTTGCCTAAAATTTTAACAAATAAAATATTTTTGGGGGAGAGAATATTTTTACCCTGATATTGTTTAGAATTGCCAGCATGTGACAATAAAAAGCAAACTAGTATTTTGGATTCATTGTTCAAATTATGTTCCATACACAATCTTCTGCAGAAATGCAGTGTGCCTCCACTGCCTGGACCTAGGAGGGCAGCTCCTCACTTGGTCCTTGGATACTGCTGCTCCCAAACAAAAAGTTAAACCAAGCTTGAAACCCATCAAAAATATCATGCGATTTTTTTAAGAAACCAGTGATTTCTCCAACTTCTCCTCTGGGCTTTAAGAATAAATCTAGGGTTGAGGACGTGGCTCATGCCTCACATGCATATGGCCCTGGGGTCAATCTCCAGTACTACATGAACTGGGCATCGTGATGCATACTTGTAATCCCAGCACTGGGGATGTGGAGGCAAGAAGACCAGAAGTTCAAGGCCAGCCTAGACTGCATAGTAAGTTTGAGACCAGCCTGGGTTACACAAGACTCTAAATAAATAAATAAACAAATAATACCAGGAGTTACAGTAAGGTCTTGGCTATATAGGGAGTTCAAGGCTACCCTGCACTATGTGAGTCCCTATCTCAAAGCAAATGAATAATTTGTTTTTCTAAATAATAAACTTTGGGAAATAACATGAAAATCTCTAATAACCCTCATTTTATTATCTTTTAAAATTTTTTTATTTACTTTTGTGTGTATGAGTGCTTTGCCTGTGTATATGTAAGTGTACTATGCTTGTGCAATGCCTACAGAAGCCAGAAGAGGGCACTAGATCATCTGGAATTGGAGTTACAGATGGTTGTTAGCTGCCATGTGGGTGCTAAGAACCAAATCTGCCTCTACAAGACCAGACAGTGCTCTTAACCACTGAGTTATCTTTCTTCAACCCTCATAGTGTCAGTGAGATAGCTCAAAGGCACTTGCCACCGAGCTTGATGACTTGAGTTTGAGTCCTAGAACACACATAGTGGAAAGAGAGAACTGACTCTCACAAGCTGTCTTTTGACCTCCACATGTATACTGTGACATGGTGCACACAAACACAATAAATTAAATAAGTAGATAAAGGTAATGTGCAATGAAAATTTGTAAAGGACTACAACAAATACCTTATGTGTTAACTTATTTCTCAGAGACAAACCCCCAAATGATAAGTTGATGGGTTAAAGTATATATGTTTTGAAAGTCTTTTCATACCTTTACCAAAGCTGACCTGTAAATACAAAGAACAACTACTGTTTCTTTCTT